GGTTCTGACATTCTATTACGACATTAATCAGTATCAAGAACCTTTTAAGAAGAGAGAAGAGGCAAGAAGCAGCAAGAAAAGAACAGATGTTGGTGGTTAAAACCAATGTTACAATATCGATCAAAGAAGTTGCAGCAACACAAAATCCGACCCAAAATAGAAAACGCAACCACGCAACCAAAACTTCGAATGTCGCAATAAAAATCGCATGGGAAGATACAGTGTACTTTGCTTGATCAATTGGTGTATTCTTTTAAATAAAAAAATTCGTTGTTAGTGATGATGGTGATGATCTCGTTAGGATACGATTTGTGGTGTAAAGGTTAAAGGAAAGGGGTTCAGGGGTTGTGCCTAAATCATGATTGGACCGCGATAACACCGGAACTGGAACAACGTTTTCCCGAGTCAGCAACGCTTCGGAATTAACCCGAACAATTAATTCGGTCCTATCCTGCGAACTTTATACAATTCAACCACACAGCACATATTACGAACTTCGCACAATAAGAAGCCCTGGGGACCAGGCCTTTGAAGAAGGGAGATAATTGTAATAGGCGCAACGGAGATATCTATATTAGGAAATAGATACGTGGCGATAGATACGTGGCGATGGCAATATTATCTATATAATGCTCGCTGATATCCGTGGATTTTAGGAGATCAGCGATTAGCTTTGAACAATAGAGATTGCTACCTTCTTAATATCCTTTGTGCGTACTTCACACTACTCTTGTAATTACTCTTGTAGCCCATCTCTTACATAAATCATAATATATGTGAAATACTATTAACCACTCATCATCTTCATTGATTCTTATTTTGTAGGAGGCTGCTGATATATCAAGCTTTGTAAATCATTTTGCTTTTTCTATTCATTTAAATATTTCATTGATGAGTGGAAGAGAGTATCAGTTCTTTTATGTGATCTGATTAAGTTTTCAGTAATCTACACAGAATCATAAACCTCTTTCAAGTTTCTTCACAAACAATACAGATGTTGCAGCAGAGATGTTGTTAATTTGAATGAAGCTTTTATCTAATAATTCATTGAATGTTTTTTATAAAACAAGAAGCTCATCATGCAATATGCTGTAGAGAAAGCTTCAAAATGATTGTGAATCTTTGTCATTTTTCTTAATGAATTCAATTATATGATTTATATCACATTCTCAATGAAAGGGAAGCTTTTCAGCCGCTTTTTCATTGAACATGTCTGTGAAATTCTTATATGATTCGGGGAGTTTTTTACAAGATTCTTTGGGATTCTTAAATTCTAACTTTTCTAATGCCTTCTTAATATCTGCCATACGGCCCGGTGGTGTAGCGGTTAACTACCCACTTGGTGTCCCAGAAGGGGCGCGGGTTCGAATTCTGCAGGGCTCATTTTAACCAATTTCCACTGTAAAATCACCAAACAGTACCGGGTGTAACCGGCCCTTTGGGGCCGGCTATAACCGGGCGCTAAATTCTCACTGATCTTGTGGGGCTAGCACCCCCCGAGCGCTTCAAGTTAGATCAGTACTGGATAGGTAAGGTGTGATGGGGGTGGAGACACCCGCAGGATAGCGAATCATCGTCAAGCTTAACTGGCCAGGGGCTCACCGCCACTTCACCCACTACTATCTAGGCACCTCTAAATTCTGGGGAATTAAGGAATAAAAACTACCCGATCAGGGCACCCCGGGCCTAGTGAAAGCAAGGCGGTGGTGACCAATTGGTAGGCTGGAATGCTGAGATTGGCAGCCGGAAGGTCGGAGGATTTAACTAGAACTGAGTAGCTCTGGCGTTATTCTTAGTGAGGATCCCACTTAAGTAGGCTAGTTAAAGAACCCAGGTGGGCGGCGGCGCTCTAGAGGGAATGATAACCCCTAATGGTGGCCCGAGAGGACAGAGGCAGTGGCTGGTTATATAGAGTGTTAAAATATGTATATAACTCAAGGTGTAAACTGCAGAGGTTTGTTCTGTGCTTTTAATAGCTGTTGTTTTTTATACTCTTTATTTCATTTGTTTTAAATTGAATGTATTGATTTGTTGTCATTCTTTTGACATTCTTTCTTAAATTGAATAGTTTGAATAGTTGTTTGATTCTGGGCTGGAATTCTGCTATTGCATGTATTAAATTGACTTTGTATATTAGCTTATTCTTAAGTTGAAAAATCCTGAAGTATTTCAGATAGATGTCGTAGTCACTGACTACATACATTTATAATGGAAGAATAATAATAATAATAATGCAGTATATTAAATATAATAGAAGCTGACAATCATATCATTTGTTGTAATATTCTGTAATTTGATTTTTATAAACTTTTTTATTTCATTGATAGTCATCTGTTCATACACTCTGAATGAGATTTCAGATTTAGAAGTAGATATTTACAAAAATTGAGAATTTTTGATTGTATTTTTTTTTCTTTTTTCTCTTTCTTCTTCTTATTCTCCTTCTCATCATCAATTGAATTCTCATTATTATTCAGAATATTCAGAATAGATGATTTGAACAGATGAAGATGCAGAATAGTTGAAGTTCTTTTATGAGTTTATGAAACAATAGAATGATGAGTGTTGCAAGGCATATTGACAGATTTGATGATAAAGATGTGTATTTGAATGAATTGGATGATATTTGAATGATTCTAGAGATATTTTGATTATTTTTGCAGTGTTTTGCTACTATTTTTCAGGGGGTGGCAGAAAATTCTGTTTTCGCAAGCTTTACGTCCGCCACAGTAGACTGATTTCATATCATTGATTCTGTCAAGGCCCAAGAAGAGAAAACACATCTGTATCCATCTCTCCTGTGTGGAGTTTTTTCTCCTGCTTCCAGTCCTCATTCTCTTTGCTGTTGATATCTCATAATTAATAATAATAGTACAACAAAGGACGACGTCGGGGTTGATAAACAAACAACAAACACCCAGCATATGAAAGTAAAAATATGCTTGAACAGGACAAGGAGACCCCCGACGACTTACGCCTCTACTGTACTCAGTAGTTGATCCTTGGTCCGAAATGTCTGTGGAAGGTTTTAACTAATTCGCCAAAAGGATCAATCCTTAAGGTAGCTAGCTACCTATTTCTCAAACAATATATATTCATGCATCTAAATGATTCACACTTGTACCCATATATGAGGATTTGAGTTGTACGTATGTATATATTTATAGGTACTGTATATGCAGGCACATTTGTCCAATCTTTGTCGATTTGAAGATTCTCACATCATGACCAAGGGTCCCTGAGCAGGGATATCATATACAACTATAACCTGAAGCTGGCGGAGGACGAACGGTGAGTCCGGAACCCATTTTGTGGGTGCTGAATTGCTAACTGACGCATCGATAGCATACTTGAAGCTCGAAGTGGGAGTGTAGATTTCCGATTCTGCATGACAAAATAAGCTCTTGTCACTCAGGAGCCGGAGTGTGTGGTCCCTGAAGCAACCGCCATTTAGTGGGGTCGAAGCCGTTGGAGACCTAGGTGGATACTCGACAGCATCTTCATATTCATAGTCATTGCTACGAGGGTTCGAGATTCTCTTCCATGGACCCTCGGAGTGGCGGGGATGTTTTTGTATATTATAAAAATGTTGATATCAGCCACCCGTGGAAGGGCAGCAGAATTCTCCTGGCCGATGATATGATACTACACTGCGGACACCGAATTGCATGGCTCTACAAATTGCAAGTTATATGCAAACCCACCTTTGCTGCGCTGGCTCTTGTCAACTTGCTGATGCCTGCAGACTATCAAAAGGGTGGTATTGGTGATAATCAATATGTCGTTCCCTCTCAGAGATCCATTGCCTTTACACTTCTGCGAGGATGGACATATGATCCGGAGTAACTGACCTTGGTAGTGGATAATCAAATGAATACATTTATAATGAGGATGACAAAAGTTGAGCGGAAGCTTCACTTTTCACTAACACCAAATGCTACAGCAGTGCGTCCGTGTGGTCTCTAACAAACTATTTAACTACGATGTCTATTCACACTCAGAGGCACCTGGATAGGTTACAAGCCCAGCGAAAGCACAAGCCAGGACAGCTAGCGCCTCTAGGCCCCGAGCCATGCCTCTGTCACAGCAAAAGCAAGCATTCGCGGGAAATTTGTTTTTATTCCCTATGGCCTCACCGCGAGGACTCATGGGAGCAATTTCAATTTCATGGGGGCGGGGAGATGAGAGAGGCAAAAAGGAACTTGGAGGATGGCAATACAATAGCAAAAGGGATATATAGTATTCGTTTGTCTTTGTTTCCACATATCTATTCAGCACCGTTCGGTTTGAGTATCTAGGAAATCAACGGATTGAAACAAATATTTGGAAA